GGGGGGGAGACACACGACACGACGGGACGGGACGGGACGACATGGCCCCCTCCAACAGCACTGCGGTTGCCCGAGGACAGTCCCCACTCAGCCCGCCCTGGCCGCCACCTGTGGATGGTCGCCGTGCGCCCCCAGCCTCAGGAGACATGCACTGCCTATTCACCAAGGAGTTAACTTTTCTAATTTGTTGACTGTACAGCATCAAGTGCCTTAGGATAAAAATATCTACTCCCTTTCAATTCCAGTTTCACATACTGTCTGTAAAGCACACAACTAACTAATAAAATGGAGCTCGTGAAGAAGTCGAGGAGAAAAACTAAAGTTAAAATGGTTGGCATGGGATGTTATGGTTAATATTCTGGTCTCACAAGAACCCTAAGCCTGACTTTTGGGCCAGTATTCTTGCTCCCTGATTGACTGCTGGTAAAAAAAACAACTCGGGAGGAAAAGGTGCTTCACAAGTGATCACTGATAAACATCTTAGCAAGAGGGACTGAAGAAAGTCAGCATGCCAGAACAACAAAAGGAAGGGAAGGCAAGAGAGAAACAGCCAGGTGTGTTTTATATCACAACAGAGAACATCTCTCTATTTTTAGCTTGACCTGTTTCCTAGGTTCAGACTTTCATGAAATACTATGGAAATCCAAGTGTTAACCATTTTCAAAATACAGTTCTAATTTATACAGAAAATCTTTGCAATGTTGCTTTTTCCAAACTAACTAAAACTCTTGACAAGTTATCTACAGGTTTAAATAAAATTCCAGGAAGTTCACTCGACTAGTAACCAATATATATACACAACTGAATACTGAAAATGTTAGTTAGGTGCAGTGCTCATGTAAACTGGCAGCTTTCCTTCCCTAATACATCAATGCATCTGAAGAAGCAGATTTTTAGAATCTGCACTTATCGCTACAGTCTTTGCACATGCAGATAACAGTTCACAAAACAATACTACCTTAAGTGTTCTGCCGTCTACCACCACATTATTGACACACTGTATAGCTCTCAGAGCATCTTCTGACCGGATGTAGGTTACATATGCACTTGCGCTCGGACCCTAGAATGGAAGTAGCCAACAGTGTTCAATTATTTCTAGATAAATATTGTTATCTATTTGAAAGAATGACTCGTTAGCAATCTGACTAAATTTGAGGTTAAGTATTTAAATGTAAAACAGTCCGATGAAATTTATCCAACTAAAAATGTTATAAATAGCGGGGAAAAAGGATTCTTAAAACTAAAGCTTTTAGCAAACTTCATGTTCGTGGGGCGTCGTTTGTTTTTTTTCCCCCTTTTTTTTTTAATAAAAAAAAAGATTTAAGAAAATGAGGATACTGGTGAATGGACATACAAAATATACAGCAAGGTGATAATGACACGTTTTTTACCATGATCACCTACACCAGAGCTTTCCAAACTTTTCATGTTGGTGAGACACTTTTTAGACATGCATCATTTCGCGACACAGTAATTCAGTTCCGGGGGAGGGGCCAAGGGAAGCAGACGCGAGTAAGGGAGCTCCGCGGTGCCCTTCCGCAAAATTTTCTGCATTTCGCACAACACACCTACACACTGCCACCGACACACTAATGTATCGTGGCACACAGTTTGGAAAGCTCTGACCTACACTCTGCAGTAAATGCTCACATGTACACTCTTACCCTGTGATAAATGGAAGACAGACGATAACAGTCCTTAATGAAAGGCATATATAAGTTACCACTAGGAACATGTCTATGTACAGTTACTGCTGAACAGGTAATGCATGATAAAACCATATATCCTTCACCTTTTCGCATTATAGAAAATTGTTCATATGTTCATAACCTTTAACTGCTTCTCTGAAGCTTTTCTTCCCCTCTACCAATTCCTTTAGATAACTTTTCTACCTATAGTTCATTAAATTTCCTGCTGGCTTCTGAAATTAGAGCAAGTCACTTTAAGACACAACACCATTGTATAAATAATAAACTGGACTGTCATTTATAGTATTGTCCAGTGTTCTCTTCTCCAAACCCCAGGCCCACAATCTACCATTATAGTTGACTTTGACCTGATCAGGAATGGGGAACCCAAATTTATTTAAAAATCCATCCTAGAATACTGCCACTATAACAACAGACAGAAATTAGGGTGGGGTGGCCACAACCATTAGAACCCCCACTGCCTTACCTGTGAGCCTGCATATGATGTGCTGTTGTTGATAACTACTTTATGTATTTTACCAAACTTCCCAAAATATTCTGGTCGTTTCAAAACCTGAAGGAAGAATGAACAAATTAAACTGATGCACTGAGAAATTAACAACACAAATGATATAACAGTTCTGTTTGAAAATGGATTTCTTTGCACAACTCTGCAATTGAGACTTGAAGAAAAAGTGAAAAATAAAACTCTTCTACAAAGAGGTGGCAATCATATGGATGTAGGTGTTTCTCCAAAGAAAAAAACTTTAAATTTAAGAGGCAAACTTATATTATTACCAAAATTAAAAAAGGAACGCCCTCTTGCAGAAGATCCAGGGTGAACGATGCTGCACCACTAGAGGCCGTGCTCTTCTTAACCTACTGCTCACAAACGGAAGAACTGGTGTGGGATGTAGAAGTGGATGGAAAGTTGGGCAGCAGTGGCCACAAGACAATTGAATTCAGGATCCTGACAAAAAGAAGAGAGGAGAGCAGCAGAGTGTGAACCCTGAACTTCAGAAAAGCAGACTGACTGCCTCAGGAAACTGATGAGCAGGATCCCCTCGGAGGCCAGTCTGACAGGGAAAGGAGGAGTTCAGGAAAGCTGGTTGTATTTTTAAGAAGCCTTACTGTGGGCACAGGAACAAGCCATCCTGACATGCAGGAAGAATAGCAAATGTAGCAAGCAACCAGCTTGACTCAGCAGAGAACTCTTCAGTGACCGTAAACACAGAAAGGAAGCTTACAAGAAGTGGAAGGTTGGACAAACAACTTGGGAGGAATATAAGAATATTGCTTTGGCATACAGGGATGAAGTCAGGAAGGCCAAAGAGCAATTGGAGTTGCAGCTAACAAGGGACAGGAAGGGTAACAAAAAGGGTTTCTACAAGTATATTAGCAACAAGAGGAAGGTCAGGGAAAGTGTGGGTCCCTTACTGAATGGGGGAGGCAACATAGTGACAGATTATGAGGAAAAGGCTGAAGTGCTCAATGCCTTTTACCTGTTTTCACAGGCAAGATCAGCTTCCAAACTACTGCACCAGGCAGCAGTTTGGGGAGAACGTGAGCAGCCCTCAGTGGTGAAATAACAGGTTAGAGCCTATTTAGAAAAGCTGGACATGGACAAGACCATGGCACTGGATGCAATGCATCTGAGGGTGCTGAGGGAATTGGCTCATGTGATTACAGAGCCACTGGCCATCATTTCTGAAAACTCGTGGCAGCTGGGGGACGTCCCAGGAAAAGGGCAAGTATAGTGCCCATCATTAAGAAAGGAAAGGAAGAGGATTCAGGGAACCATGGACCAGTCAGCCTCATCTCAGTCCCTAGAAAAATCATGGATCAGATCCTCAAGGAATCCATCTTGAAGGAGAAGGTGATTAGGAACAGACAGCATGGATTCACCAAAGGCAAGTTGTTCCTGACCAATTTGACCGCCCTCTGTGATGAGATGACTGGTTCTGTGGATGCAGGGAAAGCAGTGGGCACAGCATATCTTGACTTTAGCAAGGTTTTTGATAGTCTCCCAAGCCAGCATTCTTGCAAGCAAGCTGAGGAAGAACAAGTTGGATGAATGGACTGCACAGTGGACAAAAAGCTGGGTGGACTGTCAGGCTCAGTGGGTAGCAATCAATGGCTCAATGTCTAGTTGGCAGCCAGTATAAAGTGGAGTGCTCCAGGGGTTGGTCCTGGGGTCAGTTTTGTTCAACATCTTCATTAACGATTTGGAAAATGGGATGGATTGCACCCTCAGCAAGTTTGCGGATGACACCAAGCTGGGGGTATACTAGATGCACTGGAGGGTAGGGCTAGGATTCAAAGTGACCTAGACAAATTGGATGACTGGGCCAAAATAAATCTTATGAGGTTCAACAAGTACAAATGCAAAGTCCTGCACTTGGGATGGAAGAATCCCATGCACTGCTACTGCCTGGGGACCGACTGGCTAAACAGGTCTGCAGAAAGAGGACCTGGGGGTTACAGTGGACAATAAGCTGGACACAAGTCAGTAGCGTGCCCTTGTTGCCAAGAAGTCTAACAGCATACTAGGGTGCATTAGTAGGAGCATTGTCAGCAGATCAAGGGAAGTAATTATTCTACTCTATTGTGCACTGGTGATGCCACATCTGGAGTACTGTGTAAAATTTTGCACCCCCACCCTCCTAGAAACGATGAGGACAAATTGGAAAGAGTCCAGCAGAAAGCAACAAAAAGGGTGAGGGGGACTGGGGACATGACTTCTGAGGAGAGGCTGAGGAAACTGGGTTTATTTTGTCTGCAGAAGAGAAGACAGAGGGGATTTGATAGCAGCCTTTAACTACCTCAAGTGCGGTTCCAAAGAGGATGGAGCTGGACTGTTCTCAGAGGTGGCAGATGACAGAACAAGGAACAATGATCTCAAGTTGCAGCAAGGGAGATTTAGGTTAGATATTAGGAAACTCTCTCGCTAGGAGGGTGGTGAAGCACTGGAACAGGTTACCTAGAGGGATGGTGGAAGCTCCATCCTTGGAGGTTTTTAAGGCCTGATTTGACAAAGCTCTGTCTGTAAATGATCTAGCTAGGGATGGTGCTGCTTTGAGCAAGGGGTTGGACTAGATGATCTCCTGGAGTCTCTTCCTAATTTTCTATGATTCTATGACACTGAGCATACTTTACACTTGAAATTTAGTCCCTTTTGGGATCAAAAGCATCTAAAGCCTTCCACAGCCAGCTGTTTCCTACTAAAATGGGTTGGCCCGCACTCTACAGCAGGGTGTCAAACATATGGCCCCTAGGCCAGATCTGATCCATGGGTCTCTGGACCAACCCTGTGCACCAGCCCCAGTCTCACATGCTGCAGACAGCATGGGGGGGGGTGTCAGTCCAGAGCGCTGCACGCAGCCTGTACCCCAGACCCCCTGTCCACCTGCAGCACCATGTCCAGCCCATGTGCCATGAGCAGGGCACACCAAGTGCTAGCCCTAGAGGCTGAGTACATGGCAGGTCCTGGGATCAGCATGTGCTGCATGTAGTGCATCAGGCTAGAGCACAGCCAGCGCACAGGTCATCTGGCAGAGTACCACATGGAGCATGCGCCCCATGCCAGCCCTCTATGACACTGTCTGTAGCATGCGCAGCCATTCCAACCCCACATGCAATACACACTGGCCCCAGGACTCAGTCTACATGCAGCCTCCAGGACTAACATAGGGCACGTACAGCATTATGCAGTATCTTATGGGTAACATGCACCCTGTGCTGGCCCCAGGGGCCAGTGTGCGCTAACTAGACCCAGCACCACAGGTGCTACACAGAGGGTATGTCCTGGTCCAGCCAGCAGACTAGCCCAGCAACTCTAATCCAGCTCATAGGACTGGATGAGTTTGACACCCCTGCTCTCCAGCAATGTTTCTAAACCCATGAGTTGCGACCTAAGTTGGTCACAAGAATATACAAAAGGGTCAGGAACAAAACTTTAACAATAGATTCTCCTTTAAAAGCGAAAAAGGTGAGAAACTCTGGGTTTTTGCTTGCAGGCTGGCAGAGTTCCATCCTGTAGGGAGCTGCTTGCCCTCCCCACGCCCCACACACTGGCGGGGGGCTGGCCATTGAAATTTGCAAATGGGTCCTGGTTCAAAAAAGGTTGAGAACCACTGCTTTACAGCATCTGTACATGCTAAGGAGGGGATGTAACAGCCGTTTCAGAACTCCTCTGCAGCCTAAAACTACCCTAAGTGATCAAGCAAGTCTAATGTAAAGTAAACTTAAAGAGAAACAGGAAAAAAGTAAGTTGTAACTTGATGTAAACAGCCCAATTAGTCCTTATTTTACAGGCATCCTTAAAATCCAGGTTCAGACACATTTTGATACATTAAGAGAAGGCTCAATTTACCTTTTTTCCCAAACTTTGAAAAGTCTGGCGAGACATAGCCCCCATGTGCCAATACCACTGGAAGTGATGCAGGGACTGAACTATGAGCTAGAAAACAGTAGATGCCTCCCAGAAGTTCAATGTATCTTGCAGTTTCAAGGGACAAAACTATGACATGATTCAGTATCAACAAGCCATTGAGTCTAACTGGGGGTAGGTTACACTTCTGTTGGGACAAAAATTTCTTCCCTAACCTTTTCAGCAATGGATTGTTTTAGCAGAATCAATAATTTCTACTTTGTATGGAAAAGCAGTTTAAGGAACTGGTAAAAAAAATAGACACCTCCTGAATGCTAAAAAGACTATCTACCTAGCAACTACAGGGGGGACCATCATGGAATTTGTAAGAGGTCTGTGGATCCATCTGTTTATGCTCTACCCAGTATACAGGGAAAAGTACCAGCTATTCAAACTCTGAAGGTGGATTAACAGATGAGGAAGAGGATTACTTCAAGGGAATAGCCCCAGGAAAACAAGATAGGTTAGCTTCTCTTTAGCCCCATCTTCACACTCTCCAGTATTTTGTCCTGCAGTTCAAGTTTTATACTAGGACAATATTTAGGCCGAGATACTTCATACCTCCCTAAAGTGCAGGCACCTTTTTTCAAACAGCACTATGCTAGTCACATTTGGAGAATTTTTTTACAGCTATGGGTTAGCAACAGTTTAAAAATTGAGGTGTACTCAATTCCTAATCACTGAATTCCACTAAACTGGAAAACTTTTTCCTGCTCGGAACAGAATGATAGCAAATGAAAGACCATGGTATTAGGCAGTAGGTCTGTGTGAATAGATTTGATTCAGCCGATTCAGACGACAGTGATTCGATTCAGTGGTTTGAATCACTGTCCCCATTCGATTCGGCCAAATTAGAATCAGAGCTTTGGCACCGATTCGGAGATTCGGATCAGCCGGGGACAGGCAGGCACAGCTGGGCAGCTGCAGGTTCTCCTCCAGCTGTGCTTGCCTCTCCCCAGGCGAGGGGAGCTGCAGGAGAAGCCCACATGGCTGCCTTGTCCGGCCCCATCCCCCGCCCAGCCCCAGCCTCCCGGCACTTCAAAATAAAATTTAAAAAAAGAATGTAAGAAAAAAAGCCCTGCACTCATGGGCTGCAGCAGCCCGAGGCCTTGTGATAGACAAACTAAATTTGTGCTGCAGGCCGTGGCTCAGCACAAGAAAGTTTGCGTCTCATTTTACATTGTTCCCCCCAAGAAAGAGCGAAATGAATTCTGCTACCAGAAACAAGAAAGCCTGATGAAATAGCTATTGAGGAGGCATATCAACCTATGTGACATTTAATCTTTAAAAGGGGAAGGAAGTCACAGCAGAGACAACTTTCTAGAAAGTTGTTTCATCCTGCACCAGTAAGGCAGTCTCATGCAAATGAGGCATAAGAATATTACATCTCAGTGGATCTTTAGAAGTGAACAGGTGTCATTGTTACCTAAATCCAAGCGTGAACTGCTTACCTCTGGATCTGCTAGACGCTGGGATAGCCCTACCACAAATACGAGGTTCTTCTGTACCACCCGTACACTAGCCAGGTGTTTGCGATTCTCTGATATTTTCTGTTTCCTCTCATTTTGCTTCTGTTTCTTTTCATTTTTTATCCTTTGCAGCTCTTCCTGGGAGAGTGGTTTGTACACTGCTGGATCTTCTGGGTATGGCTGAAGATAAGAAACACCATTTAATGAAACCCAAATAAAAAAAACAATACAGCATCTGATAACAAATCTCCACAATTAAACATACAAGGAGAGATAATTCATAAGGTGTTATACAGTTTCTCTGGCTGGCCATTCTGAAAGCAGTATGTTAGAGCCTTTGGGAAGAAGGGGCATCAAGTCCTTTTCAAACAATCCTATTTGTGTTAATATAATATTGAAAACTGGCAAGGATCACATTTTGATTCTGCTTTTTATTCTGCTGAGTAACTAGAGGCAATAGCCACAAGAGATGATCTTCCCAGGAAGTGGTTTAATGAAGGCAGGGACCTGAAATCTCAGATCATGTTATTTTCCGAACAGTTATGAAAAGTATTTGAAAAGCCCATTAATAACATAGAACAAGGGCTGAAGAACCTGCCACGTTTTCTTGCATACAATACGTGTCTTTTCCCAAAAAACAGCTCTCCCAAAACTGGAGTGCATGTCTTAGGTGGAAAAGCTGCTTTCTTTGCTGGAAAATCAGCAAGCCTGGAGACGCTGCACACCATGCAGCTGCCCAGATGGCTGTCACTTGTGTCTGGCTCAGCACGCTGAAGGGGCAAAGTGCTGCGTTAAGTCTCACAGTTGTAGCTGCTGGGCACGGTAACTTGCGTCTGAAGCAACAAGTAAGCTGCTGGCAGTATCTTGATGAGACATACAGTGTGGAAACAACACTTTATTTACAGGTTCTTACATAAAGAACTACTTACTGCAAAGAAATAACAGTCTTGCTAGCGTTCTCACATGGGCCTTGTGTGACTAAGTCCTCCTGAAACTACAGACAGTGTTCTCTTCCTTTCCAAATCCCATGCATTTACAAAGGCAGCTCTTGGTGCCAGTTATCTCACCCAGATCATCTCCTGGAATGCCACACTCTGCACTTCCAGGAAGACTTCCTTTATGGTCACACAGTTGGTTAGAAGTGTTGGGGGG